TCTCTCTCTCTCTCTCTCTCTCTCTCTCTCTCTCTCTCTCTCTCTCTCTCTCTGTCTCTCTCTCTTAATGCTGGTTCAGAAGGCTTTGGAGGAATAATAATAAGTAGGTAATAAGTAGGAAAAATGTAAATAAATAGATTTAATCAAATAATCTTATTGATCTATTACTAAAGTCAATATTTTAAAACTTCTTAATCTACAAGGACCATCTCTGACCAGTTTTAAAACCATAAATGAGGAGCACTTTTTGCAGTAAAAGTTAATGACAATCTACTAAGGTATTTCAATACCACAAATCAGATATCACGGACCACAGAGGAAGGTCAAAGGTATCCCTTTTTAAACTTCATGGATAGGATCTTGAAATAAACAGAGAAGATGTTCTCTCCAGTTATTCTCACTGACTCTTTTACTCATGGAATGATGAATGACCCTGACTCAAGGGCTATACTCACAGGTAGTGTCTGTCACCATCATTTTGGGACATAAGCAAAGGATACTCTTTTAATGGAGTCAGGGGGACAGAGATACAGACATCTGTGAAATTAATGTCTAAACCCACATTTGCAACTAGAACATGATATTTTGTAAACTCTGCTTAGAATAATTTCCACTCTCCCCTTCCCACCTACTTAACCAGCTCTATCTGCCCTCAGATTACACGTAACCTCCAAGAGATACTTTGTCTAATTACCCAGTCTTCCTTGTACACAACCTTTTTTCCAAGGAGGCAGGAGGTTATATCAGGTTATAAATATCTCCTACGATGGACATAAGTATGTATGCACTAAACAAGGAAAAAAACAATGAATGTGTGGAGCTACTCTGTGGAGAATTCTCCTAATCAACAGACATATAAAATTTTAAAGTGGGGAAATGTTTATCATCTTGGCTCATTTGTTTTCTCTAATTATTTTGAGTTTTAAAAAATCATTACTTATTTATACAGTATTAATACAAATTATTACTGAACAAAAAAGGAAAAAAAATGAAACATCTTTTCCAATTATTATTCTACCCAAACAGTAACTTCTAAGGAATAAGCACTTGAAATATTACAGTCTCTAGTTATCTTATATGCCAAGGACCTTTAAGTCAATGGTAAAAGGTAAAAAAAAAAATTGTTCATATTTCTGACTTGGGAGGATTTAGGGAAGAAAATCTGCATGGAAATTCCTAAAGCCTGAATACTGGCAAATATGTCCTTTCCATCTCCCTTGTTCATGTACCTTCTGCAACCTACTCATACTGGCCTGTTTACTCTAACAAATCTTGAGCTGGCCTGTTTAACAAATCTTGAAAAGTAAGGATTGCTATGATTTTTTTATTTTGGTGTCTTACTCTCATTGAATAAGTGACTAAATGTCTAGCATGAGTTACATTTTAAGAAGAGTCTTATGCCTCCACTGATTTTATCAAGGGGAAACCAAATGCAAATCTGGCTCTTGCCTTTGCCTTATGCATAAAATTTAACAAAGGAAAAAGATGCAAACAAACAAAAAACTATCTTCATACACTAATTTCCTGTAATTTTTCTATTCTCCACAAAGGAAGCTAAATCTACTTGTAATACATACTGAAATATGTGGAAGGTATACATAGGGTCATCTTCACCACTGTATCTTCAAAAAAAAAAAGTTAGAAAGAGGGAAAAATAGACTGGCCCTGAGGAGTCACCTTCACTCCCTAATCAGGAAGTTCATGTCAGGCCACCAGTGTAGTTTCTCTTTCCCTCAAAGCCTACTAAAAATAGGGAATAAGATAACAGGAGGTTTATATTATGCTACCAGTGCAGTTTCTCTTTCCCTCAAAGCCTACTGAAAATAGGAAAACAGAAGAGAGCATGGAGTTCAGCTGGCAGACCAGGGCGCCACGTGCTGTTGCAGGGACACACCCTGGTGCTAGCTGTGGAAGTGCTTCTCTCTGATGCTCCATCTGGGAGGTGACTGCTTCACCACAGACCTCTGAAAGGTAGTAGAGGGAGGGAGGCAGGAGGGGGTCATCCCTGTTGTAGGCAGCTATCCAGATCCCAGAGGCTTAGGGATCCAGCAGCACTGGATGAAAATTCCCAATTCTGCTCTGATGTTAGTCCTTGGAAAGCACCAGGGACAGACATTTAGATGCTGAGGTCTTGGGTGGATCCTGCTTTCTACTCTCACATAGCAGCTGTAGACAAATCCTCTCTGCCCACCTCTATACCAAAGTCTGTCAACTTTGATTTTGTGAGATTTTTGTCCCTCAAGGAATGAAAAGAAGGAGCTTTCATTTCAAAACAATTTACTTCCCTTTTCAGTGGTACTGGGGAGAGCTTGGAGTAAGTGCTTTTCAACAGTGAAATCTGGTTTCAGGTTACAAAGTTAAAAGTTCTTCCACTTAAAAGGAACAATCCCTGCAAATGTGTAGAGGGGAGCCTCTGAGGGTGGCCTGGAGACAGTGCATATTGTCCACATGTAGACCACTCAGTGAGCATCAAGCCCCACACACTGACTCTCCCCAAGTGCTTTTTAATGTCCCCAGAAAGATGAGGGGCTTCCCCATGAGGCTCTGTGCAAGTCAGTGAACCCATTTCCCAGGAGACACAGAATGTCCTGAGTGGCTTGGTATCCTTGGGAGTGTGGTGACTCACCACTGATGTGGTATTGTGCCAACACCTGTTCTACTGGTAGCTTCTTTGGCAGGGAAAGTTGTGCTGATGTGTGAGAAATGACAGAGCAACTTCAGATTCTGGTCCTCAGGGTTGAAGTTCCCCAAAACGAGGTGTCTCATCTCAGACTCCCTTCCCTGCCTCATCAGGAACAGTGTGAGACCTCAATGGTTAATGCAGGAAGAACTGAATGTAGTTTCGATTTCAGTGCTATTTATTTTCACTCAATTTTTGGCTGGTTGTAATATCCTGTTTGGTTTTCAGCTTCTAAGAAGAACGGTTAGTTTTCTGAGGAGCCAGCTGAGGGGGAAACACAAGCAGTGAATACAGTGACAACTTGTGTGCTGATTGCCACAAACCTGCCAGGTGAGTTTGCTGCAGAACTGACCACCCATGAACTTGTCCCTCAACTAAAAACAACAGTGATATCCACTCTGGGGTTCCCCAAGGGAAACTCCACTCTGGGGTTGCACTGGAGAGTGCAGGAAGATCTTGGGGGCCACTGGAAGTGTCCCAAGCCATTTGTCTAAAGGACTCTGTGCCCCCCCCGTAGCTCAGCTGCTTTCTCTGCAGAGGCAGCAGGCAGAGGAAGTGTGCTCCCTCCTCCTGTCCTCAGTGGTCTCCTGACTAATTCCCTATACCTGTCCTCAACAAAGTCCGTGAGAACCTGCATTTTCTCTTATTTCCATGGAGGCCTTACCTTATGCCCTGCTTATGTTCTTCTGAGGATTTGTCGTTATCAGATAAATGTTGATTAGTTTTGTTCAGTATCTGTTTCCCCAATGGAGAGATTGTTGTGACAGCAATTTTCATTCACTCAGTAAGCTCTTTGATAATGGATCTCTAGAACAGTATCCAGCATGTGGCAAGTGCTCAAAACATATTACTTGATTTAATGAGAGAAGAAATTCTTTTGTAATGCCTAACAATATTTCTAACCAGTGTTCATCTCCATATTTCTCATTCTGCCTTCACTTACCCCAAAATGTTCATATTCTCAGGGCTCTGACATCAGTATTGCTTTCCTCAATCTCTTCTGAAAAATTTCAGGCAATGCTTCTAGTACTCTCCCACATTTTTTAAATTGGTGCATTATAGATGTACATAATGAAAGTATTTATTATTAAATATTTGTATATGTGCATAATATAATAATGTATTTGGGTCAGTTTAAATCCCCAGCACCCTTCTTGACCTCCTAAGTTTGACTTATTTTGCTGAACATAATGGTCTCATGTTCTATTTATTTTCCTGCAAATGACATGATTCATATTTTTATGGCTAAATATACCCCCAAAATATATGTATATACCACATTCCCCTTATTCATTAATTTGTTGATGGATACACAGGCTAGTTCCCTAGTTTGGATATTGTGAACTGTGCAGTTATCAATATGGCTATGGTTGTATCAGTATAGCATGTTAACTTTAATTCTTCAGGGTAAATATTGAGAAGTGGTATAGCTGGCTCATAGAGTGGTTCAATGTCCATTCTTTTGAGGAACCTCAATACTGATTTACAAAGTGATTGTACTAATTTACTATCCCACCAACAGTGTAAAGGTGTTCCTTGCTTTCCACATTCTCTTCAGTCTTTATTAGCATTTGTGTTCTTGATTTCTGACTGGTATGAGAAGAAATTTCAGTGTAGTTTTGATTTGCATTTCCATAATTGAAAACATGTTGACCATGTTTTTTGTTTTTGTTGACCATTTGTATTTCTTCTTTTTAGAAGTGTCTGTTTGGTTCATTTGCCCATGTATCAACTGAGTTTTTTGTTTTTTAGTTTATATATGGATGTTAATCTTCTGTTAGAAGATTAGCGAGGAAAGATTTTTTTTTTCTTATTCTGTGGGTTCTTTGTTCACATTCTTAATTGTTTCCTTTTGTGGTCAGAAGATTTTAAATTTGTTGTCATCCCATTAATTAACTCTTGGCCTTGTTTCCTGAGCTTTAGGGGGATCTATTGAGGAAGTCATTGCTTATGCTTATATGCTGATGTTTGATTCTATGTTTTCTTATAGGAGTTACATAGGTTTTGATCGAATTCTTAGGTCTTTGATGCATTTTCATTTGATGTTTGTACAAGGTGAGAGGTAAGAGTTTCATTTCATTCTTCTACATATGGATATTCAGTTATCCCAGCACCATTTGTCAAAAAGGCTGTCTGTGTTTCCAGTTTAGTTTTTTGGCATCGACATTTGTCAAGGATCAGATGACTGTATCAGTGGGTGTTTCTTTCTGTGACTTCTGACCTGTACCATTGCTCTATGTACCTGGTTTTATGCCAGAAACATGCAGTTTTGTTACTATAGCTCTGTAGCATAATTTAAAGTCACATATTGTGATGCTTCCAGCATTGCTTTTTTTTTTTTAATTTGCTTACAACTGTTTTGACTATTCTGGAATTTTTATACTCCTAAATGAATTTTAGGATAGTTTTTATAGTTCTCTGAGGAATAACATTGGTATTTTAAGGGGGATTGCATTGAATCCATGTCGCGACCCCCCTTGCCCGCAAGGAAGACGCGACTCAGGAATCTTCTTTCAGCAGTTTATTCAGGCCCTTGATATTCTTCTAATAATTCTTCTACTACTTCTTCTACTAAACCTCGGATGCCCTTCCCAGCCTTAATAAAGCACCGCGAACCCCAATGCGAAGCTGCCACGTGTACCCTTCTCACAGGGTGCTAGAAAACGACACGCCAACTTTCTCTGATAAGGAGCTGGGAACACGCCAACTCTCTTTGATATGGAGTTGTCCTTCACAGACCACAACGGAGCCAGCGCCATCATGTAATGGCGACCACAGTCCGCAGGAACGGCTCACCACAAATCCATATATCATTTTGGTAGTATGGCCGTTTTCACAATGTTCTTATAATTAATTAATTCTGATTATTATAATTAGAATTAGTATAATTAATATTAAGTCTGCTGATCCATGAACATGGGAGGTCTTTCTACCTTCTGGGATTTTCTTCAATCTCTTTTTCAGTGTTCTATATTTTTATTGTAGAGGTCTTTTACCTCCTTGGTTAGATTTACTCTAAAGTAATTATTTTTAGGTTCTTGTGAATGGAATTATTGTCCTGATTTCTTCTTCAGCCAATTTATTATTGTGTATAGGAAATCTATTGATTTCTGTACATTGATTTTGTAACCTGATACTTTACCAAATATGTTTATTAGCTCTAGCAGTCTTTTGGTGGAATATTTTAGATCTTCTAGATATAAGATCATATTGTCTGCTAATAGTAATAATTTGACTTATTTCTTCCTTGTTTTATCTCTGGTATTTCCTTCACTTGACAGGCAACACTTTTTCAGTCCTTCATGGAAATGTCAATGATGTACATAGGTCATCTCTACCAGGACTTGACATGCTACATAATGTTTTTACTTTTAATAACATACAAAATGTAGAAAGTTAATGTAAACATTCCACAGGCAGAGAACTGACACAAATGTGGCTTGCGTAGCCATAAGAAAGACTTCAAGATCCTGGGATTCACTGAGTGGCTTTTCTGAGTTACAGGTGACCATGGCATCTGAATCTCCTATGAAGATCCCCATTTGTTTAGTGGAAAACTGGAATGAGCAGCTGACAGTGAATTCAGAAGCCTTGAGGATTCTTGAAAAGATACGTCAGCCTTTGGTGGTGGTGGCCATTGTGGGGACATATCGTACGGGGAAATCCTACCTCATGAACCAACTTGCAGGACAGAACCATGGTGAGTGTGGTCCTGGGGCAAGGGCAGTTGCTTAGAACCAGAAATAGGACAAGCTGAGCTCACTTTCTCTAGGATCATCTTAAGGAAGAGGCTCTAGAAATCCCCCCCCTTTTTTTTCCTGCATTCTTTTGTCCAAATAAATAAAAGAGACTATGGTGTATGTATTCTCGTGTTTCTTACTTATTTTGCTCAACAAGAAGTTTATGAGCATTCTCTGTTTGTCACACATATCTGTAATTTGTTTTCAGTACTTTAGAGTATGCTTGTACCAGTTTACTTATCCATTAGTTGTTGATGAGCAGTGGTGTTATTTCCAGGTTTTATCTTTAATGAATATGGTAGTTATGAATATTCTCATATTTATATCCTGGTGACAATGTACATAATCTTCTCCTGTGCCATATATCCAGAAGTGGAATTTCAGGATTTCAGTTTCCATATATGTCTTCAGACATTCTAGGACATATTAAACAGCTTTCCAAACTTTGTGCCACGTATATTCTCTTCCTGAGATTTCCATACATCCTAAAAATAATTGGTAACATAAGATGAAATGTTAACTCTTACTGATCTATGAACTAGATAGTTGTATGTTATGTATCTCACTATAAATACAGGCAAACACCTGGACATTTATATTTCCTATTTTGTGAACTTTTTCAAAAAAGTCAATCTACTAATCTCTAGGGCTCTCTCTCTCTCTCTCTCTCTCTCTCTCTCTCTCTCTCTCTCTCTCTCTCTCCTTCCTCTTTCCCTCTCTTCTTCTGAATCTTTTGTGCCCTTCCTTCCATTTTCCCTCTCTGCTTTTCTCCCCTTTTCTCTTTTGACCATTCTTCCATTGTAGCCTAAACAAAGCATTTTTGTCTTTGTCACTCTTTTAATGGAATAATTACCATCAATCAAGGGAAGACACTTTTTTCTTACCTAGAACAAACAAATTCATAAGTCATATTTCAAGTGATGAGAGTTGAGACTCTAAGAGAGGAAGTTTCAGCGGCATTGTTCTTATTCTCTACTCAAGATAACATCAAGCCACAATGAGATAATTCCCAATGCTCTGCTAAGAGAATTTATGGCTTTAAACATCTCCACTGTGACTCTCCAGCCCTCCATAACATAGTGTCATAGTAATAACAGAAAGATATTGATTCACTTCCAGTCAAAACCAGGTCACTATTTCTCTCTCTGTAGGTGACTCATTTTCCTTTTATTACACCTTATATTCTTGAGTGTTGATTTTTCACCACACTCTGTCCTCTCCAAAGATTAGAGGGAGCACTGGGAGGTAGGCTTGCTCTATATCAATCAGAAATCAGATGGTACCACTGTATAAAAATTTGTAGACTTCCTACCTCTTTATGGAACTCACAGAGGCTGTGGAAATGGGAAGGCCCAGGTCATGCTGAAACAATCCTCTAGGAATTTTGTCACTTCCTTTCTACTCCCAGTTGAAGGAAGGAAGCATTACTGTATGCAGGTGGTCAAAGTCTTGGACTCCTGGACAGGTCATATCAGCCACTGGTTCCAGGACTAGTCTTCAAATCCTTTCTCCTGTGGGATTAACTTTTTGTAAAGAAAGTCAACAGGTATCACAGGTCTTTCCTGCTTTTTCTTCATTTATATCCTCCTGATGGGGCAATGAAGCATAGTTCATTATTTGGATGAAGAGAAGAAAGCAAAAAACTCAATAAGGAGAAAGGGGAAGAAAAAACCTGCAAAAACTAATGTATCAGTGCAGGTCTTAGCTGGCCACACCTGAACAAATTATTATCTTTCCATCACTATAAGAAATACCTGAGATAATTAAATTGATGGAAATAAAATGTTGACTCACAGTTGTGGAGGTTTCATGATTAATTTTCCCTGATGCTTTGGGCCTGTGGTTAGGGAGCATATCATGGCAAACAGCTACTGGAAAATCAGAATTCTGCTCAGCTTATGGTAAACCAAAGAGGGAAGAAATAAAAGAGAAAAAAAGGAGGAAGAGACTAGGATCGAACAATTCCCTTCAAGGGCACCCTTTCCCCCATGCCCAGGAGTTTGAAGTCCTCCTACTAGGCCCTACCTATTAAGGGTTCCTCCTAATAGTGCCAAACTACAGGCCAAGACTTAAATACTTGGGTCTTTGGAGACATTCAAGATCCAACCTATAGCACCCATTCACAGGGTAATTGAGCATTGAATGAAGGAACTATTTCTAAGGTCAGAGTATGGATAAAGGAATCCAGCAAGTGTGATAAAGCACCTGGTGAGTGGTAGTAGCACTGGCCACTTACCTCTTTTACACTGACGAGGTGAGTTTAGAGTGGATGCCGTGGCGTGGCAAAGAGAAGAATTATTGGATGGACCTACAGGAAAGGAACAATGACCTGAGGTAGAGGAACAAGCCCCTGGGACACTGTGGCCCAGCACAATGGAAGCTGGAGGAACACATGCCTGCCTTCAGATCTCCCACTGGGGTTTCCAACTGGTTGAACTCAGCCTGCAGCCAGAGGACACTGCAGCTCTTCCTGGTCAGATAAAAATACATAGGATGACAGATTGTACACTAATTCTTAATGTGAAATAATTTGAGCAATTAAAAGAATAATGTGAATTTGGGGCATGAAGGGTTTTTTTGGGGGAAAAGATAGACAACACGTGGATTATTTATCCTTGTGAAATAGTAGCAAACACAATCCTTGCTCAACATTGTACATTCCTACAGATTTAACCCCTGTAGCCCCTGGCAGCTTTTCCTCTCATCTGTCACTCTATGTTGTCTTCTCCTCTTCCCTCACAGGCTTCCCCCTGGGCTCCACAGTGAGGGCTGAAACCAAGGGCATCTGGATGTGGTGTGTGCCCCACCCCAGCAAGCCAAACCACACCCTGGTCCTCCTGGACTCTGAGGGCCTGGGCGATGTGGAAAAGGTGAGGCAGAGAATGTGCTGTACTCTTTCTTCATGTTCCATTCAATTGGTCACCTCAGTTTGACTACCAGGTCATATTCCTGTACTTGCAATCCAATTATGAATAATGAGGCTAAATTCCATTTCCTCAAACTTCCTTAGCAACCTAAAATACCTTGGTTTTTTGAGTCAGTTTTTTTAGCTGCTGTTAAAATAATAGGTGACAGGATTAATTTTAGGAGGCAAAAGTTTATTTGGGGGCTCACGATTTCAGAGGCCTCAGTCCATTGTCAGACAGGTTCATTCATCGGAGCTCGAGGTGAGCAGTACATTGTGTGAAAGTGTGTGGCAGAGGGAAGTAGCTCACAGGATGATCAGGAAACAGAGAAAGATTACATACAAAATATACAACCAAACACAGAACCCCAGGGACTCACCTCCTCCAGCCACAGCCTGCCCGCCTATAGTTACCACTCAGTTACCCATCAGGGATTAATTCACTGATTGGGTTAAGACTCTCATAATCCAATCATTTCTTTCTTTCTTTTTACTTTAAAGAAATAATAATTTTATTTCAAAAATACAAAAACCTTATACTCAAAAAAATCAGATTCATTCTAACACATTGTATTCTCAAAAACTGGTACCATGAGAGATAAACCCAACCTCTTTATATTTTAGATCTCTAGAAGAGAAAATTAATGGGCTCTATGTTGTTGTTATTGTTGTTTTTCCAATACTGGGAATGAACCCAGGGGTGTTTTACCCATGAGCTATAGCCCCAGTTCTTCTAATTAAAAAAAAAATTATTTGCTCTTTTTAGTTATACATGACAGTAGAATGTATTTGGACATACCATATATACATGGAGTGTAACTTCCCATTTTTGTGGTTGTCCATGATGTGGAGTTACACTGCTCATGTATTCATATAGGAACATAGGAAACTTATGTCTGATTAATTCTACTGTCATCCATTCACATTTCCCCTCTCTTACCCCACTCTGCCCTGTCCACTGTGCCGTCCCCAACTGTTGTGAATCAGCATGTGCATGTCAGAAAGAACATTAGGCCTTTGATAACATTAGGTCTTTGATAACATTAGGCTTTTGATATTTTCTCTGAACCTTCTTGCATTATTTCACACATAAGCTTTTGGGGAACACCTCATACCTAAACCATTACTTTGGTAAACTATGACAGATCTTTTATTTTTAATATTGAGATGTGCAATTTAATTTAGTAAATACACATTAAATAGCTGAAGTCTAGGGCTCTGTGCTAAGTACTACAAATATATCACTCAATAAGGTAAAGACTTTGAGCCTGGTTATAGAGATAAGAAATATGGAATGAGATCAGTAGGAAAAAAGAGATGCAAAAAGTGGGATCCAGCTATGAGAATTATGAGGGTTATGGAAAGCTTCCTGAAGAAAGCTGTAACATGTGGGGTCAGTGGGCTTGATACCTTTAAAGGTAGAGGCCATGAAAATAGGCTTTTGGGGAAAGAATCCATTTAAATAATCTTCAGCTTTATCATTAAGATTTTGGTCTCTGAGTTCCAGATATGAAATTTTCACTGACTAAAAGCATGAACTAGACTGAACAAAAATTTAGCAAATGATAAAATTTTAGGTAATTCATCTTTACATTATTAGTTGCAATCAGTCTTTTATCATAATTTCTATTAGTCTAAATCTTATTGATTTGTAATATGTTTTGGTTTTCATAAAACCCTTTTTTACATCTAATTGCAATTTTCAAGAGAACAACACATAAGCTGAAAGCAGCAGAATCGATGGCTGATATTAGGACTTGTAACAGGATCTGGATCTATTTCAAAGCCTTTAAGTCTTGCTGTTATCTCATTTCAGGCCTCTTTTCACTCTGACCTGCATACTCACATCGTCAGTGAAATAAAAGAAACTTGTGCTGTAACAAGTGAGACTTGCTGCTGGTGGTCCTTCCCCTTGCAGGACCCCTGCATCTCCACAAATCCCTATTCTATCAGCTCTTTAAACCTCAGCTAATGATTGTTTGCTCTGAACTCCCAGTAATTCACACACATACATGGAACTCCCAACCCACTAATTATTTTCCTATTTTCTTTCCTACCTTCCCTCCCTCCCTCCTTCCTTCCTTTCTTTCTTTCTTTCTTTCTTTCTTTCTTTCTTTCTTTCTTTCTTTCTTTCTCTTTCTTTCTCTTTCTCTCTTTCTCTCTTTCCCTCTACTTTGGTTTCCTTTCCTCACAGGTTATCATTTGAGCTGTGTTTATATGTCTGTTACATGTATCTTCTTCATAAAGTGATATTCCTATGAGCAGGGACTATCATATGGAAACTTTGTATTTACAAAATCAAATGCAATGTCTGGCATATTGTCAGATGTTGAAAAAGGGTTGTTGAACTTAATTGGAAAGTGCTTGCATCCTTAATATAGCCATGAAGACAATGAAATTTGTAATGACTAATTGTCCACTTATTATGGAATATCTACTATGTTCTAGGCATTTTATTAACTATTTTATGTGCACTGAGAATGACCTTCATTGGCCTTCATAGCTAAACAAACTATTGTCCTGAGAAGGACCAATATAAATATCAATAGATTTCAATTTAGCATTATCTTAAAATGTTGTTATTTCACCTATATTCATAAATAGTACAGCTAAAAGAAGGAATGAAACCAGGAGCAGTGGCTCATGCCTGTTATCCCAGCGGCTCGGGAGGCTGAGACAGGAGGATCAAGGATTCAAAGCCAGCCTCAGCAATAGCAAGACGCTAAGCAAGTCAATGACACCCTGTCTCTAAATAAAATACAAAATAGGACTGGGGATGTGGCTTAGTGGTCAATTGCTCCTGAGCTCAATCCCCAGTCTACCCCTGCAAAAAAGAAGGTATGAACAACTAAATGAATGAATGAATAGTGGACTCCTAAATTCTTTGTTGCCATGTGATTCCTAGGTTGACCCTAAGAATGACTCCTGGATTTTTGCCTTAGCTGTACTTCTCAGCAGCTTATTTGTCTATAACAGCATGGGCAACATTGACCGCATTGCCCTGGAGCAGCTACAGTATCCTTCCAAGAACCAAACAACTATGTTTCATTGAATTTGAAAGAATGGCAACTGAGGCTGTTTTTTCTTTCTTCTAACTTAATTGTCTTGATTGAGTAAAAATGGATATAAGGAAAAAGAATATTTATAAAACTTATTTCTAATGGAGATCTGTAAATTGTGATACTTCTCATTCCTTATCTAAGATCCCAGCTATGTGACTGAACTAACACAACTAATCAGGACAAAATCTGACCCCACACCAAATGAAGTAGAGGACTCCTCTGAGTTTGTAAGATTCTTTCCAGACTTTGTGTGGACTGTTAGAGATTTCATGCTGGAGCTGGATTTGGATGGACACCCCATCACAGAAGATGAGTACCTGGAGAATGCCTTGAAGCTTATTAAAGGTATCCCAGGGCAGCCTTGTTGTGGGGAGGTTCAGTAAGGAAGTGGGATCAACTAAGCAATGACTTTCACTTCTATATATATGAGACTGAATTGAGGCCCTTGTTAATGGTGACAGGGGACATGATTTTCATTTATTATTTTATAAAAATCTTCAGAGGCTAAAATTTAGATTCATTAAGGAAATTTAGGGCTCAATATTAATCCCAATAATTTTAGAACTATCAGTACCATGAAAAAAAAGAAGAATAAAATCAAAGCCAACAACTTAAAAACCCAAAAAATCAATAACTAAGAAAGAAAAACGGTCCCCCGAATTTGAAGAAAAAAAGTTAACAAAACAAAAAAGAAGAAACCCAAAAACAAAAGAAAACTAAAAAACAAAATTTAAAAAAAATTCAATCAATTAACAAAAGAAAAAAGTAAAACCCTCAAAAAAAAAAAAATTGGAAAAAGAAAGGGTCAAAGAAAAAAAAAAAAGGAAAAAAAAATCCAACCAAAATGGTTAAACCTTCAATTTAACCTCCCCAAAAACCAAAGAATAAAAATCCAAAAGAAACCAAGGTAACAACAAAAAATTAACAAAAGGAAGAAAATTAACAAAAGAAAAAAAGAAAAAGAACTAATAAAAACCAAAAGTAATTAATCCTTGAAACAAAAATTAATTTGAAAAACCGAATTAAGCCATGGAAACCCAAAAAAAAAGCAAAGCCAAAAAAAACCGAAAACAAAAAAAAAACAACAAAATGAAAATCAACTTAACTTGCAAGTATTTTGCTAAAGGAATTTCTAAACATAATTATGATGTGTGGATCTGGGACTTTGATTTTGAAGGATTTTTCTCTACATTTCTGGGTATCATCTGTCCTCCTCATGTTATTTTTCCCAGCAATATCTTGTCCTTATTTCTAGTATTACTTCACTTAAGAGCCCACATCCTATTTATGACATAGGACAACAATATCAGAAAAGTCTTCTTAAAAAATTTTGGGAATAAACAAGCATTTCAAAAATTTAAAAAAAAACTTAATTGCCAACAAAAAAAGGGGAAAGACAACAATTAAAAAGTTCCCCAATTGAAAAGAACCCCCCCCCCTTCCTAACAAAAAAAAATCCCTGAACCCCAAATCAAAAAAAAAAAGGTCAAAGTAAAGTTAAAAAAAAACGCCTTGGAAAATGGAAAACAAAATTTAGACAAAGATCCTTAGAAAAGACCTCAATACCTTTGCCTGCAGACTTGTCTCCTGTGTTCTTTTTACAGGAAAGAATCCCAATATCCAAAATTCCAATATGTCGAGAGAGTGTATCAGATATTTCTTTCCAAAACGAAAGTGCTTTATCTTTGACCGGCCTACAAATGACAGAAGCCTGTTGTCCCACATTGATAAAGTTCCACAAAACCAAGTGGAAAGGAATTTCCAGGAGCAATTAAAAAATTTCTGTTCCTATGTATTCACCAATGCAAAGACCAAGACCCTGAGAGGGGGAATCATTGTCACTGGAAATCGTGAGTTTCTGTTGTCCCAAAGCATGTCTCTGGGGGGGTTCAGTATGTATGATAACACTGTGATTCTTTTGTGAGTTTGTCAGTAATTCTGTTTGCTTTTGTAAGAAATGTGGAGAATCAGGCATTCATGCCACACACAGAAATGCATTTTCCTAAAAATTTTCATATCTGAGGACTTGTTGAAGTCTAACACATCTCACAAAACGAGCACCCTAAGGACTTGTACTCAGCAGAAGCTACTGCTAAGGAGAGAAATCTGCAAGTAGATGGAAAGTCCCATAGGATTGAATGTATCCCTGTGAGAATAAACAAGATATTTCATGAATTGAAACTAGTCAGAAAAGAATCAGCAGGTCATGAGTCCCAGGCCTGCTCATTGTGTTTTTGAGAAACAAATTTAAACAGCATTGGTTTCAGGAGCATGTGTTCTATGCAATAGTGAAGTCCCCATGTGGAGAAAGTATGATGCCTGCTTCAAAGCTTTATATTGCCTTCTGTAAATTTGTGATGATGTTGTTTTTACAAGAATACTTGCATTTTTATTTTAAATCAATACTCAAAAATTATGTAACTTACTTTCTCTAATACTCTTTTTCATTTTATTTGGACAGGAAATGATTTTTCTAGGAAACAGTAAAAACTTCTTGGTTGCAATCAGTAATTGCTAAATGGGGTGAATGTGAGAACTATGAAAGAAGGAGTGTATAGGAAAAGCAGTGTTATTAAATAGTGGTTCATTTACAGAGGAGATGACCAAGGAAGAACAATAAGTGCAGAAGGAAAAGAAGAGAGTTTTTGTGATTATTCTAAAGGCAATGCTTAAAGTTGTAAAAATGATGGGTAAGACTACCCATGTGTTCCCTGTCAACTAGGGTTGGCGACTCTGGTGGAAACCTATGTAGATGCCATCAACAAAGGAACCATTCCTTGCTTGGAGAATGCAGTGACAACTCTGGCCCAGCGTGAGAACTCAGCAGCCCTTCAGAAGGCAGCTGACCACTACAGTGAGCAGATGGCCTAGCGGGTGCAGTTCCCCACAGACACACTCCAGGAGCTTCTGGAGGTGCACACAGCCTGTGAGAAGGAAGCCATCACAGTCTTCATGGAGCACTCCTTCAAGGATGAAAATCTGGGGTTCCAGAAGAAGCTTATTGTAATTGAATTTGTATTCATATTTTCTTATTCCTCTCCTTCTGGAATGAGACTTAGACTCCATATCTTTGATTCCAGAGTTTGCATCATTCTCATCATAGAAAGAAATTGTTTTACTCATTCATTCACTTATTTGTGGGAAAGGACAATCGGCAGCATAAAGAGAAACCCAAACTTAATATAGCAGCAAAACAAAACAAAAAATCAACAGAAGAACAACACAACAAAAAAAAGAGAGGACACAACAAGAACACCGCTCAGCAGGGGGGATGACTGCGCTCAGCACAGCATCAACAAAAAAAAACAAGGAAAGAAACCACAGTACACATCATGGTCGTCCGAGAAAAAACCCCCCACCACAAACAAACAAACAACCCACCAAAAAATCTCTAGCGACTCACTGACTCCCACGTAAAACACAAAGAAAAAAAACAGCGAAAGAAAGTGTGAGTGAGGGATGGACTACCGAGGAAACATCATGCATTAAAGAAAACCAACCAGAGCTAACAAACAGAAAGCAAACGAAGAATTAACCTCACACACATACACACACCCACAAACAACGCAGGGGACACAAACCAAGAAAAAAAACACCCACGGACTAACTAAGCCGACCAACAACACCCACACTAAAAGGAATTCTGTCAGTCAATCAAGAACGAACACAAAAAACACAAAAAAAAATCACGAAGGAAACCCAATAAAAAATAACAAAAAAAAACAAACAGTCAAAAAATCTATCCCAGTTTCCTCACACATTCAAACCCTCACTGACAGAATTTATAAAGGGTTCAAAACTCTGTTCAGAATACACTCAACTCATTCCTTGGGAAATTGTTTGCCATGGATATAATTTCAACCACAGAAATCAACATTCCTGCCCAAATTTACTTTTTATTATTGACTATCCTCCTCTTCCTCATAAAAATTTAGCTTTTTATTAGTGACAATTTGGGTTTGGTCCCTGTTAACAATATTATAGCTAAACAAACCACCAAGATTATGTCTTCTAAATCCATCATTTCACAGAGCTAGAACTTAACCACAGGGACATTAAGACCATTTTCAGTTGCACAGAGAATTTCCCAGACGTGAGACTGAAGCATGTCTCCTAACTCCTTTCCATGACTTAGACCACTCTGAGGCTGTCAGATGACTTCTTCGAAGAGAGTCCCCACTGGACCTTCCTTCTAACAACTTATTATTTTATTTCCCTACATTAACCTTCCAGGAAACCATAGAGAGAAAAAAGGAAGCTATCTTGCTACAGAACGAAGAGGCATCAGTTAAATACTGCCAGGCTCAGCTAAAGCAGCTTTCAGAGCACCTGATGCAAAACATCTCAAGAGGCGCATTCTCCATTCCTGGAGGCCACAGGCTCTACTTAGAAGCAAAGGAGAAAGTGGAACTTGACTACAAGCTAGTGCCCAGGAAAGGAGTGAAGGTGAGGAGTAAGGAGGTAGGAGAGATGGCCAACAGAGTATAGTCACAGGGTTGGGTTTCTCCTCCTCGAACTCTAAGTTTATAGCACTATTTGTGAAATAAAGGCAGAGGATGGCAATATATTGACATTTATGTCATTTTATATTCACTACCCATTAGACACCCTTTGATAAACTGAAAATAGTTCTTCTCAGAGAGGATTTAGAACTAGGAATTCAGGTAAAACCAATCATTTCTTTTATTTACCCCAAATGGTAGTTTTTTAGGCCAAGTAAGAAGATACAATATGAAGGAAATAACTTTGTTCTCATAAAATGTATCATACTTCAAATGGGTAAAATAATATTCAATAGGACATGGTGAATTAACACTATTTGTTAATGATAACTGGTGTGTGCTGATAGGTAGTAACACTGAAGATGATGAGCAACAGTTGTTAATAGACATTGAACGTTCACTTCCTATACCAGGACAGTTTCAGGTCATTTTCTTGCATTACCAATTTAATTCTCAGAATTATGTAAGCTAGGTACTACTATCTTCCACATTTATGCAATAAAGAAATAATTGTGTATGAAGATCTAATAAGTGGCTGAAGATCATACAGACAGCCAGTGACAGAGCTGATACAGCAGCCATTAGAAACTCAGAATTCTTTTCTTTTAGAATCCTCCTGCTGTTTTCCACGGTGCCTGCACCAATTCACATTCCTACACCTGTTTTACAAGGTTTTCTTTTCTCCACATCTTCAGCAATATCTGTTCTCCTTTGACCTATTGCTAATAACCATTCTCACAGAATGTGCTGTGATTTCATTGTGGTTTTCATTTTGTGTTTCACCGCTGTTAGTGATGTTGAGCACTTTCATAATTATCTGTTGGACATTCTAATATGCAAGTAGATGGAAAGTCCCATAGGATTAAATGTTTCCCTGTGAGAATATACAAGATATTTCATGAATTGAAACTAGTCAGGAAAGATTCAGCAGGTCATATGTCTATTCAGGTCCTATCCCCATTTTTTAATCTAGTTACATGTGGTTTTTATCTGCTGAGTTTTAGGAATTTCTAACACACTTTGAAATTAAACCTTTATCAAACATATGGTTTGCAAATATTTTTTCTCATTCAATACAATGAAGTTTTCATTTTGTTGATAGTTTCTGGGTTGCACAGAAACTTTAGTTTGATACAGTCCCAATTATTTATTTTTGGTTTTGTTGCTTATGCCTTTGATTTAAAATCCAAAAGATCATTGAGAAGGCAAATGTTAAAGATTTTTTTCACCTAAGTTTTCATCTAGGAATTATAGAGTTTTTAGGTCTTATGTTTAGACCTTTAATTAATTTTAGTTCATTTACATATAAGGAGTAAGACAGTGGTCCAATTTCTTTCCTAGCTCTCTATTCTGTTCCACTGGTCATTGTGTCTGTGTTTATGCCAGTAGCATGCAGTTGTGATTACTAAGTAATACATATATGTATTAATATATTACATTATATGTATTAATATATTACTTAATAATACATATATTACTCAGTAATACATATATTCTGTCACATATATAACTATATATGTGACAGAATATTATTCATTCTTTACAATAAAAAAAAACCTTCCAATGATGACAACATGGGTTACCCTGAGAACATTGCCCTAAAGGAAATGAGCCAGACATAGAAAAACAAATGCTATGTAGTTAAAGGTCATTGGTGCCACAAAACCAACCAACCAAATAAGGGAAAAACACCATCCAGCTCATATTAACCTAGAGTAGATTTAGAGTACAATGATGATTAGCAGGACCTGAGAGCAGGGGAAGAGGTGATATTGGTCAAATACATAAACATACAGCTATAGATGAGTAAGTGCTACACACCTGATGTACAATTATTACTGGAGTTACAATAGTCTCTTGTGTACCTAGATGTTGCTAAGAAAATAGATGTCATCCTTCTCATGACAGTGGAAAATGTAATTCTGTGAAGCGATTGTAGTCATCATTTAATAATGCAGACATATATCAAAACATCATATTATACATCTTCAATGTCTACAATTGTTATTCTCAACCAAGTTGAAAAACAAAACTCAGAGGCAGCCTAGGAAAGCTTTGTGGTATGGGAGGAGGGAGATATAAGTCAAGGAAACTGTAGATGTGATCCTAGTTAAGAAAGAAAAAGTATGTGCACATACCACACACAATGGATGGGGTATGTGTTTGTAGACCTGCTGACTGGGGCTGCAACCTCAGGTTGCTGGGGGGTAACATTCATGGGAGAGGAGGCTGCTATACAGAGTTTTCATGTCTTACCAAAGAGCATGGACTTCCGTTGTGTCCAGGAAAGGAAAGGAACCAAAACAGGATTCTACTGCAAAGAATGCAAAATTTAAAGTCAGTTCTGT